GTTGCTTCTCTCCTTGATGAGTTTCCATCCTTTGCTTCTTGTCCTCCCTTCAGGCGCTTTGGAGAATAGCTTGACTCCCTCTTCTTTGGGGCAGCCCCTGAGATACTGCAACACTGCTATCATGTCCCCCCTGGTTATAAAAAGTGATCACATGACCTCGGGACACGGCAACTGTCATTAAGTACATGACAGTTGCCGTGTGTCTGAATTTTGATCACGTGACCACAGGATGCTGCATCAGCCGTTAAGTGTGAAAAACAGTCATAAGTCACTTTTTTCAGTATCATAACTTTGAACAGTCACAAAACCAATTGTGATAAGGAAAGGGCCACCTGTAAACTAACTTAATAACTAAGAAGAAGAGAAGAGCAAGAAAGATGATCAGGGGACTGGAGGCTAAAACATATAAGGAACGGTTGCTGGAATTGGGTATGTCTAGTTTAATGAAGAGAAGGACGAGGGGGGACACGACAGCAGTGTTCCAATATCTCAGGGGCTGCCCCAAAGAAGAGGGGGTCAAGCTATTCTCCAAGGTGCCTGAAGGCAGGACAAGAAGCCACGGATGGAAACTAATCAAGGAGAGAAGCAACTTAGAACTAAGGAAAAACTTCCTGACAGTGAGAACAATTAACCAATGGAACAACCTGCCTCTAGAAGCGGTGAATGCTCCAACACTGGAAGTTTTTAAGAAGAGACTGGACAGCCATTTGTCTGAGATGGTGTAGGGTTCCTGCCTGAGCAGGGGGTTGGACTCGATGATCTCCAAGGTCCCTTCCAACTTTATTACTATTATTATTATTATTATTATTATTATTATTATTATTATTATTATTATTATTATTATTATTATTATTATTATTTAACAAAGAACACAACTACAAAAAAAAATCCCAGTCAGGAAATATCGAAGACAGTATAAAAAGCCAATGTAGCTGCACAAAATTACCTTAACGAGTTTCTGGGGGGGAAAAAATGCAAATAAAAGTTTGAGAGAGGATCAAGACATCAAAGACGGTTATAGACAGGCAGACCCAAATTACTGCAAGGGTGTCAAGAATGCTAAAGCACTGAATATTGTGGGGAAAATAAATGTAAACGAGAACTCTAAAAACAGGATCTGTGATAAGGGGATCTAGATGATTAATCTAGACAGGAAGGCCTGGAGGAACATTGTCCATGGGGTCGCGATGGGTCGGACACGACTTCGCAACTAACAACAACAAGATGATTAATTAGAAAAGAAGCTTAATAATGAGGTGGAGAATATTCGTAGATATTGAATTGTTATCTTCTAAAATTACCAAGAAATGTACTAATTTCAGGTGGATAAAAGAGAACATTATTGGAAGAAGAGAAAAATCAAGGAAAGTTACTAAGGGGAATATGGAACTATAGAAACTCACTGTTATTATTTGTAAATACAAACCCAGACAACATACTGTTTACCAAATATTGATGGTGTATGTAAAAAAAAACCCCAATAAAACATTAAAAAAAAAGAATGCTAAAGCTCAGAAGAAACTCAGTTTGTCAAAAGGAGTTACGAGTAATAAGGGCAACTTCAAATAGATTTAAAGGAAAAGGAAAAGAATCAATAAATCAGCTACTCAGTGAAGCACTATCAAAGCTGACACCAGCCAGAACGTAGAAAAACTTTAAAAAAATAGTTCATGATTGGAAGACAAGGAGAGGGCTGGCCCACAGAATCACCAAGAATGAATGGGTAGCATCCTCCTCATTCAGCGAAGGATTTGACTAACAAATCAGGACTAACACATCAGCAGGATGCTGGTGACCTAAATGTTCCCTTCCAAATTTATTAATCATAATCGAGGTGGTCTGAGACAGAATGCAGAATGAAGGGAATGTAGTTGTTTAATTTGAATATAATGTCAAGCTGTAGCTAAGGAAACTAGTAATGGGTATGGCCTGTATCTGCATGGCATATAATATATTATCTGTTAACTTGCAAATCAGATAAGTAGGTCACAAATGCATCGTTTGTTTAATCCTTCGTTTGCTACTTGAAATTTACATACTGGTAAAACTCTCCTGCTTGTCCTTTCGTAACGTTTAACTGAGCAAAATGGTGCTTCGTAGGGCAACGCTTCTTGAACCAAGGTACCTCAAATGGGCTCCCTTAAGAGAATGCATCCAAACTTTGTGTACTTTTCATATTTTATTTATTTTTCCCTATTTTTATAACCTGTAAGCCCCGCCCAGAGTCACCTTGCAGGGGAGATGGGCAGCATAAAAGCTTAATAAATAAAATAAATAAAAATCCAAATTTTATAAAAGGTTTTAGGACATAAAAATGATTGTAAACCATTTTATATTTACATGAAAGCTGGGACATGACCACTGAGGTAAAGACAAGGATAGAGAAAGCTCGAACAGCATTCTTCAAAATGAAAAAGGTCTTCTGCAGTCACGACATAAGCCTAAGACTGAAAATCAGGCTGGTCAGATGCTATATTTTTTCTATCCTGCTCTATGGAGTAGAGAGTTGGTCTCTGACAGAAGGCCACCTGAAGAGACTAGAAGCATTTGAAATGTGGATTTACAGGCGGCTGTTACGTATAAAAGCTGAGTTGACAAGATCAGAAATGAGGAGGTGATAAGCCGCCTGGGAAAGCCAAGGGAAATCATCAAAACAATTAAAAAACGAAAATTAGAATATTTCGGACAGGTGATGCGACACCCAGAAAAAATACGGCATACTCCATTTACTCCTCCAGGGAAAGATCGAAGGCAAACGAGGTCCAGGCAGAAGAAGAACATCGTGGCTTCAAAATCTAAGGGACTGGTTTGGACAAAATTCAGCAGCCCTTTTTCGTGCAGTTGCTGATAAAAACAGGATCGCTAACATGATCGCCAACATCAGATAACAGATATGGCACAAGAAGAAGAAGAAGAGTAGAATAGAATAGAGTAGCGTAGCTTAGAGTAAAGTAGAATAGAGTAGAGTAGAATAGAATAGAATAGAATAGGAGAAGAGAAGAGAAGAGAGAAGAGTAAGGGTAGCATAGCTTAGAGTAGAGTAGAGTAGAGTAGAATAGAGAAGAGAAGAGTAAGGGTAGCATAGCTTTGAGTAGAGTAGAGTAGAGTAGAGTAGAGTAGAGTAGAGTAGAGTAGCGTAGCATAGCATAGCATAGAAAAGAGAAGAGTAAGGGTAGCATAGCTTAGAGTAGAGTAGAGTAGAGTAGAGTAGAATACAGGATCACAAATGAGGATGTGATAAGCCGCCTGGGAAAGCCAAGGGAAATCATCAAAACAATTAAAAAACGAAAATTAGAATATTTCGGACAGGTGATGCGACACCCAGAAAAAATACGGCATACTCCATTTAATCCTCCAGGGAAAGATTGAAGGCAAACGAGGTCCAGGCAGAAGAAGAACATCGTGGCTTCAAAATCTAAGGGACTGGTTTGGACAAAACTCAGCAGCCCTTTTTTGTGCAGCTGCTGATAAAAACAGGATCGCCAACATGATCGCCAACGTCCGATAACGGATATGGCACAAGAAGAAAAAAACCATTTTATGACATAATGCCAAATGTCATAAACCATTGCCAGTGGTCAACTCCTGATTGTTTGACAGTTCAACATGGGCTACTTTCACGGCAGACACATCTTTGGATATGTCCCTGAATTAGAATCTCTGCCATTGTTGAAGACATTGGGGAATTTAGAAAGGAAATATATCCGAAAAGATGACCCAACAGGTTGCCGGGTGTCTAGTGTTATTTAAAACTCTAGCCTCTTATAGATGCTGGAGGGTTTCAAGCAGATGGAAAATGAAAACAGAGCGGTAGCCTCAAATCATGATTTGCTGTGAGAGACCAAAAAATAGGAAGGCTATTAGATGACCACATCAATCTGCAGTTAACAGACTCATGCTGTGCACAGCATCTGAAAGAAATCAATATAGACATTACTATCACAGGTTGAGCTAAGGAAGCTTTTGCTGGTTTTCAATCCCTGCTGAGCTGGTTTAGAATAGAATCACAGAGTTGGAAGGGACCTTGGAGGTCATCTAGTCCAGGGCTTTTCAACCTTTTCACCCATTGTACCACTTTCAGGATATGGCAACATCTGAGTATTACCAGTCAACTAGCAAGGTGTCAAAAACTTGACCCAAAAAAAGAAAAGAAAAAAAGTGATAAAGTACAGGTAGTCCTCGACTTACAACAGTTCGCTTAGTGACTGTTTGAAGTTACAATGGCACTGAAAAAAGTGCCCCCCAAGCCACAGCCGAGCAAGACACCTGCCTGCCCGCCCGACGGTGCTCTTCCTCCTGTCCGAGGTTTTCATTGTTGTGAGCATTTCTGTTGAGGATTGGCAGCGGGGGTGGAGTGAGGGGTGTTTGGTTTTTATTCCCCCCGTCTGCTGGGTGGTTGCAGCAGGTTTTGGTCACTTTACATGACCCTGGGACACTCTGACCGTCATAAATATGAATCACTTGCCAAGCATCTGAATGTAAATCACAAGACCCTGGAGATGCTGCAACATTCCAGCTGATCGGCACTTCTTCTGGGCTCAGCAGAAGCACCAGGATCAGTGCTGCTTTCCAGCTGATTGGGGCTTCTTCTGGGCTCAGCAGAAGCACCAGGATCAGCGCCGAACTCCAACTGGAGCCTGGTGCTGATCCTGGCGTTTCCACTGAGCCCTGACAGCCCTGCAGCTCCAGCCGTCTCTCGCTCAGGATTGTGCGGTGCTGCCACCGGTTCAGCTCATTCCCTTCCCCCGCTACTTTTCTAGGATGGTCGCGTACCACCTGCCAGGTGCCAATGTACCACAGGGGGTACCCGTACCACAGGTTGAAAAGCCCTGATCTAGTCGTAAGTCATTTTACTTATTTTAATTGCGTTGCTTCTGACACGAATAAACAAACCATCACCGGTTCATCGTGAAGATGTGTGACTAGGGTTGATCTAAAGTTAGCATTTCATTCTCAACTTTATTGTTCCCAGTTCTGGTCTCTTCCACAACTGTACTTACCATAATGCAAAAGGCTACAGTTGACTCCTTCTGACTCGGAGACTTGTACAACGTTGCCAGCCTGGAAATCAATAATAAACGAGCAATCACGATTACTTCAATGACACGGACGAATGTTTAGGTGGAGCGTTTACAAAGAGTTGAACAACACGAAGCTCGCCACATTTCATTGGCAATTATTTGTGTCCGTATCGCCTTCTTACATTATTACAGATTCAAAGAATGACATCACTGCTATTAAGTCAGTGAAAGGACATAGTCAATTCGGTGAATGAAGGATGGTAAAGTCAAAAACATGGTTTGTTAATTTTAGCTTTTTTCTTTACATCCTGCCTTTTTATCAGTATAGGCAGTCCTTCTTTAAAGATGCTAAGTGGCACAGAAAACTCCGTTGTAAAAGTGAAGCACTTTTACGCAGAAAAACCAGGTCTGGCTATCCTGGTTACTATCGTTAAGTGAGGATCTCACTATCAAGGCTGCTAACATCGGATGTTCTTGCTTGACAATATATGAAGAAGCAGACATGTTTTATTTAACCTGTGTATCACTTCTAGAGTTAAAGTCAGACAATGTTAGAAGGGAGGGTGGAAAGTATGTACTCCGGGGATAGTTAGCCATAACAATATTTCAGTACAGTATTTCCAAGGTCAGTTGTAACCAGAGGAGTTACTGGAGGGAAAGTTCACACTTCAAATTAATTGGAGAATGTGATTGATGACTGTTAAATGAAGGAATGAGTTATGCTTTGTTAGGGGTGATTGGGGGAGGGAGAATTCAGTTTTTGGCTTCATTATGTACGTGCCGAAGCTATGTAGCAATAAAAGGATTCTTTAAGGTAAACAATGCCTCAAAGTTCTTTGAAAAGCTTAATAATAATAATAATAATAATAATAATAATAATAATAATAATAATAAAAAGTTGGAAGGGACCTTGGAGGTCATCGAGTCCAACCCCCTGCCCAGGCAGGAACCCTACACCATTTCAGACAAACGGCTGTCCAGTCTCTTCTTAAAAACTTCCATGACACTCACGTGGCTACAATTTTTGACTTCCCGCACAACTTCCCCATCGACTCTGCTTGTGGGAAGATCACAAGTTGCGATCATGGGAACTACAATGGCAGGCATGAGGCCCAGTGAGGACTACCATTTATTCATCATTGTTGTAAGTTTGAATGGTCGCTGAACGAGTGGTCAGTAAACAATGATCTAGACAACCGGAATGGCTCCCATTCATTTTAACAGGCTTGCGCAGAGGAGAACAGAATAACAGAGTTGGAAAGGACCTTAGAGGTCATCTAGTCCAACCCTGCACAAGCAGGCAACCTTATACCATTCTGTGCAAATGCTTGTCCAATCTCCTCTTGAAAATCTCCAGTGTTTGAGCACCCACAACTTCTGGAGGCAGGTTGTTCCACTGATTGTTCTCACTATCAGGAACTTTCTCCTTAGTTCCAGGTTGCTTCTCTCCTTGATGAGTTTCCACCCGTTGCTTCTTGTCCTGCCTTCAGGCGCTTTGGAGAAGAGCTTGACTCCCTCTTCTTTGGGGCAGCCCCTGAGATACTGGAACACTGCTATCCTGTCACCCCTCGTCCTTCTCTTCATTAAACTAGACATACCCAATTCCAGCAACTGTTCTTTATATGTTTGAGCCTCCAGTCCCCTAATTATCTTTGCTGCTCTTCTCTGCTCTCTATTTAAAGTCTCAACATCTTTTTTTATATTGCGGTGTGATCACTGTCATACTGCAGTGTTCCCCAACCTCAGCAACGTTAAGATATATGGACTTCAATTCCAATGCTGGGGAATTCTGGGATTGGAAGTCCATCCATCTTAAAGCTGCTGAGGCTGAAAAACAGTGCCCGACTGTCTTAATTTAAAAGACTATAGATATGGTGCTGGAGAAGACTCCTGCAAGTCCCCAGGACTGCAAGGCGATCCAACCGGTCAGTCCTAGAGGAGATCAACCCTGACTGCTCTTTAGAAGGCCAGATCCTGAAGTTGAAACTCAAGTCCTTTGGCCACCTAATGAGAAGGAAGGACTCCCTGGAGAAGAGCCTGATGCTGGGAAAGATGGAGGGCAAGAGAAGAAGGGGACGACAGAGAATGAGGTGGCTGGATGGAGTCCCTGAAGCAGCAGGCGTGAACTTAAATGGACTCCAGAAGATGGTAGAGGACAGGAAGGCCTGGAGGAATGTTGTCCATGGGGTCGCGATGGGTCGGACACGACTTCGCAACTAACAACAACATAGATACGGACCACAGGTATTTCACAGCTTGTGACAGATAGCCCGACACGAACAGTAAGGAACAGAAAATAGTGGCCGTGTTTGAAAAAGGGAAATGATTGTAGAAACCTGGCCTGCTTTGCAATTCCACCAAGTTTGTTGTATTGTTAAAAATACCTTCAACCACAAAACAACAAATTATTCAAAAATATATAAAATAAAGCCAGATAAGTCCCCGGAGGATCTGACAATAATACTAAAGCTTAAATATTTTGAACTTCTTAACCGCAGCTGGCGTTTTTGAAAAAAGCCAAAGAGATGGAATAAGCCTTGCAACTGCACTGGATTTTATTTATTTTTTGTTCAATCTGAAATCTAATTCGCTAAAACCCACAGGGAGGGAGGACTCCTGAACTTGCTATACCCCAGGAAAATGCTCAGCCTTCCCCCCCGGAGGTAACCTGCCAAGATTCCTGTTAATTATTTTTAGGGCTCTGGGTTTCTTTTCTTCTCTCAGTGCTGTTCTATTAGAAAGCAAGTAATTACCGCCCAAGGAAGATTATCACACCACATTTCCTCACACAGGGAATTCCTCAGAACATTTAAATTGGTGGGTGTACTTGATCGAAATAGCCTTAATCGTGAGGTACCCTGTCATGTTTCTAAGAGGCTCTCAAATAGAATTCCACCAGGTGCCCCTCGGATGCAATGGATATCTGTGTTTGGATGAAGGGACACCCCACCATCTAAATTAAGTGACACACTTAAAGGCGCTGGGAGAAGAGGGATATTAGGTTTTAACACCATAATTGAATCATGGCTAAGGTTACACTGTGTTCCAGCTGCAAAACAAAGAGGTACGGCAAGAATTCCCCGCAGCATCCTGGGGAAAACAATGCTACAAAAGGAACAGCTTAACTCGGTTTATTTTCTTAATTGCGAAGCTCCGCTTTTCCACAGGTTTCCCGTTGGCATAAAAATAAAGGCTGCCTTTACTAACCCACTGCTGTCTTGCAGCCTCACACTCTTTTATCTTTCAAATGTGAATGTTTGGGTAGGTTTTGTAGCTACCTGCTTTAGATAAGGCTGCTGCCCAAAATGGCAAGCTACATTAAAGGGACAGGCTTAGGATACAGGAGGACCTGGACAGACTTGAACACTGGGCGCTATCTAACAAAATGAAATTCACTGGTGAAAAAAGCAAGGTTCTACATTTAGGCAAGAAAAACCAAATGTACAGGTATAGTATAGGGGGTACCTTGCTCAATAGTAGTAACTGTGAGAGGGATCTCGGAGTCCTAGTGGACAATCATTTAAATATGAGCCAGCCGTGTGCTGCAGCTGCCAAAAAGGCCAACACAGTGCTAGGCTGCATTAACAGAGGGAGAGAATCAAGATCACGTGAAGTGTTAATACCACTTTACAATGCCTTGGTAAGGCCACACTTGGAATACTGCATTCAGTTTTGGTCACCACGATGTAAAAAAGATGTTGAGACTCTAGAAAGAGTACAGAGAAGAGCAACAAAGATGATCAGGGGACTGGAGGCCAACGCATATAAGGAAAGGCTGCTGGAATTGGGTATGTCTAGTTTAATGAAGAGAAGGACGAGGGGGGACAGGATAGCAGCATTCCAGTATCTCAGGGGCTGCCACAAAGAAGAGGGAGTCAAGCTATTCTCCAAGGCGCCTGAAGGCAGGACGAGAAGCAACGGGTGGAAACTAATCAAGGAGAGAAGCAACCTAGAACTAAGGAGAAACTTCCTGACAGTGAGAACATTTAGCCAGTGGAACAACCTGCCTCCAGAAGCGGTGAATGCTCTAACGCTGGAAGTTTTTAAGAAGAGACTGGACAGCCATTTGTCCAAAATGGTATAGGGTTTCCTGCCTGAGCAGGGGGTTGGACTAGATGACCTCCAAGGTCCCTTCCAACTTTACTATTATTATTATTATTATTAACAGCCCCTGAAACTGTCTCTCCGAGAACTGATTGAAGCCTTCGAGTTAAGAAAAGTTGTCATTCGTAGTTAGACTATGCTATTCGTTCTCCTGCATCCAAATCTGATCTTTGTGTATTTTGTCCACGGTACCTGTACACCACAACTTCAATATTACTAAGGAACTGGCTGGTTCTGGCATAAGTGGGCCGATTCTGCTACTTGTCTCCTAAAAGTGCCTTTTTTCCGTTTTATTTTTAGAATATCTGAAGTAGTCTGGAAGTTGAGTCATGGCAACCAGAGTCCTTTTCTAGCTGGTTGGAAAATTTCAAACGATATGCTTGACTCAGTTTTCAGGCTTTCAAGATACACTGAATTATTAACAAATCATACAAGCTGTTCCATACTACTACATACTAGGTAATGTATACAGTGGTTGGCTAGTTCGTCGTTCATGTAGCTACTACAGCTTTTTCCTGTCTAGCTGTTTATAGGCTTTTTTTGGTGGGGGAGAGGAATTTGAAATAATTTTGAGAACTCTGTTGAAGTGTGTTTTTAGATAAGTATTTAAATTAAAGGCAGAATGTTCATTCCACAGCTGGTGTAGGCTACAGGGAGGATGGGAAGAGAAGCAGAAAAAATAATTGAGAGTATCCTTGGCTTTAGTTACAAACTCAATGGCTAATTTTATTGATTGGTGTCCATTTTTTAAACTCACCTCTGCTTGTTATTCCAGTGCAAAATTAAACGTATGGTAGCTGCATGACCCCAGCTTTCCCCTACAGAAAAAGAGAGGGAAGACAGAGGAAGAAAAAAGAATTATTACCAATTATTCTTCAAACGTATTTTAAAGGCACACAGCTGGTACATACTGCAGCCAGGAAGCGCCAGCTGCAAAGAAATCTATATAAATAAAAATGTAAATGTTCGTTTGTTCAAAATCTTAAATCTCCGAAAGTTCTTCACCGATTGCTTTGAAATTTTGACACAACGTTGCATTCGAATACGCGCGTGTTTTTATATACCTATATTATATAGATGTCACACCTGTGACAGGTAAAAACATGCTTTTTTTTGAAAAACAGCGCCATCTGTTGGACGTAAGAGCCACACACGCGTTTACCAGACTGAGCCACAGCAACGCGTGGCTGGGTACAGCTAGTAATAAATAAATTCATGATAGGAAAATAAACAGTTATGAGCTAAGATAAACCCGCCACGCTTTTGAGAAGGCAAGCAGGTTTCCTATGCAAAAGGGAGCACCGTGATACTAAATACTTGCACAACAGAATGATTAATTGTGATAGAACAATTCATTAGGACATCCCTGCTCCCTTTCTGCCTTGCAGTTTAATGATTTAACATGAATTTTCCTGGAGGCTTTCAGAAAATTGAGTTAGAAATATTTGGGAATAAATAAAACAGGATTTTTTTAAAGCCTCACAAATATAGAAGAAAATATGTGTAGCTTGGGATTGAATTGTGGAGTCCTTTGGTGCTTTCTGAGCTTGGATGTTTTCTTGTAGATGTTTCCCTACCCATCTAAGTAACATCATCAGTGCTAGAAGGGAGTGGTTTGCGCAGTGAAGAAGGAGGAGGAGGAGGAGGAGGAGGAGGAGGAGGAAAGGGAAGAGGAGAAGGTGGGTGTTGGAGTCCTTGGTGCTTCCTGAGCTGGATTGCTTTCCTGCAGATGTTTCACTACCCAGCTAGGAAACAGCAGTATTAGAAGGAAGTGGAGTTTCTGGAGAAGGAAAAGGGGAGGAGTGGAAAGGAGAGGAGGAGGAGAAGGACAACTGTGGAGTCCTTGGTGCTCTCTGAGCTAGTGATGACCAGGAATTAGGGGACAGTATTAATTGTGAATACATATAGATGGCTTCTCTCTCTTTGGTCACTTGTAATCCTGGATGCAGGGTCAGGAAAGGACAGCAAGGACAACACCCAATGTCCTAACCCACCCAAGAACATATGATATCTTTAAGGAACACACCAATGGGAACATATTTAGCTACCTCTGCTTTCTCCCTTCTTATCTACAGTATGCCAGACTTACCGGGTGCAATCTTTATCTTATGTGTGTCAGCTTTGCTGGATGGGTTGCTTATGTAATTATACAGAAGAAATACGAGGATTTCTTGTCATTCAGGGCTCCTCTCATTTTAGAGGAGTCCGTCTCTATTCAGCTGAATAAAAACGTAAAACTTATAAAGGCACTTTCTGGTTTCCTGTATTTCTTTAACCAGCAAAACCTCAGAACCTGCATATCACTAGGATGTATTCCTGCAGACATTTCACTACCCAACTAAGTTAACATCACCAATGCTAGAAGGGAGGGGGGGTTACTCTTAGTCTATACAGAGTTGCTCCCCCTGCCAGTCTTGGTGGGGACGCACCAAGGATTTCGCCTCACAGCACAGTGCTGGGCTGCATTAACAGAGGGATAGAATCAAGATCACGTGAAGTGTTAATACCACTTTACAAGGCCTTGGTAAGGCCACACTTGGAATACTGCATCCAGTTTTGGTCACCACGATGTAAAAAAGATGCTGAGACTCTAGAAAGAGTACAGAGAAGAGCAACAAAGATGATTAGGGGACTGGAGGCTAAAACATATAAGGAACGGCTGCTGGAATTGGGTATGTCTAGTTTAATGAAGAGAAGGACGAGGGGGGACATGATAGCAGTCTTCCAATATCTCAGGGGCTGCCATAAAGAAGAGGGAGTCAAGCTATTTTCCAAAGCACCTGGAGGCAGGACAAGAAGCAACAGGTGGAAACTAACCAAGGAGAGAAGCAACCTGGAACTAAGGAGAAACTTCCTGACAGTTAGAACAATTAACCAGTGGAACAACCTGCCTCCAGAAGCTGTGAATGCTCCAACACTGGGAGTTTTTAAGAAGAGACTGGACAGCCATTTGTCCAAAATGGTATAGGGTTTCCTGCCTGAGCAGGGGGTTGGACTAGATGACCTCCAAGGTCCCTTCCAACTTTACTACTACTACTACTACTACTACTACTACTACTACTACTACTACTACTACTACTATTATAAAAAAGGTACTCCTGAATGAAAGACACGGTCTGCTTAGCCCAGTCGTGCAAATATTTTTATCAATTTATTTATTTATTCATTCTTTCAATATCTATAGCCACCCATCTCAAGGCAATACCTGAAAGTGTCATGATTCCGACCGATGAAACTGTTCAAAGAACTTGGAGGCATTGTTTACCTTAAAGAATCTTTATTTGAGACGCACAGCATCGGCACTAACACAGTCGAAACCAAAAATTGGATTCCCCTCCCCAGAGCACATAGTATCAAAGCACAATTCCCTCCCCCAATTCACAGTCATAAATCACATTTTCCAATTAGTTTGAAATGCAGGCTCTCCCTCCAATTCTCAAGTCTGCCAATTCTTATCATCTCTTATTTCAATAACCTTGGTTCTCACGCTAGGTCCAGTATTGTTATGTCTAGCTGAACTCCCATGCACATTCCTCCCCCCCCCCCCATCATCTAACTCTAGCTCTAACTCTAAGAGTAAATCATAAGAAGAAAAGGGTTGAATCTCCATCTGTTGTCAAAGCAAAAACATCCGATGTTAGCAGGGTTGACAGAAAGTTTTTCATTTGTTCGTGAGCTCTAAACCAAACCTTGCCTTGGACAGAGAAACCGTCTTCCCCAGGCTTGTCTAAAAGAACAAACGCTGCCAAAGTGCTCGTGAGGCTGGGGCGTCTGTGATTTATATTCAACACCTCTGGCAGCCAAGGCTACCGATAGCCTTTTCTTCCTTTCAAGCAGTACAGCCCTCCTTTATTCACTAGTTGTGATGACCCGAACGGAGGCAAAGTAATTAGTTGGTCAGAATAATTGTCTTTGTAAGCACTGCCGACGTTCACCCAACAGCCCCCACATATGCTGGCACAAGTTCAATAAAACAGTCAACGGAGTTCAACAGTTCTTTAAAGTAAAACAGATAACAAACAAAGTATGATCTTTTTCAACGCCCAGCTTGCCTGTAATCTGCAAACTGCAAAACTGAAGACAGCAAGGAAACAAATTTGATCCAAAATACAAAGACTCCAGGTACAAGAGCTCACATCACAAGAGTTCACGTTTGTTCCCGGCAAATGCCCCACCCCACAGCGTCTCCTTAAATACCTATTCCCCAGGTGTGCCTTGTGAAGTGGGGCGTGACGCTCTCCTCCCGAGCAAGTGAGCCTGCCTCCGTTGTTCCCTCCTCCTCTCTGCTCTCCTTGCTCTGGGATCTGGTGGGGAGGGGCCTTGCTCCTCGCCTGAGCTCTGCCTTCCCTGTTCCAAACTTGAAGGGCCCTGGCCTGCTTCAGCCTGTTCCTCCCCACAGTCCTCCGAAGCCACAGACACC